CCTGCCTAATGGAATCTGAATTACTTTGCTACAGCTCTGGTATGCTGGGCCATATAAAGTTTTTGACACTAATGCACAAAAAAATGTCCTCTTGGGAAGTTTTGGGTGAGGTTACCCATTTCATCTAGAATTTACGAAGTTTATTTTCTAGGCCAGAATTCCTAGGGTTCTCTGACATGGAAGGATTCAAATTTCAATCATGTTTTCATATATTGTCTTATGAGGACATAGATGGATAGTTGGATGCCTAATTGACTATTTATTCAAATGCCCAGTTTTTACAACTGATTGATAATGCAATAATTACATTGCCAATTGTCACTTAGTTACGGGTGAAATCTTTCAAATGTGTGTGTGTGTGCATGCGCATGTATGCACATATGTACAACCAACTTTTTGAAATGCTGATTCCTAATAAATATTTCCCCAGTTCCATTGGATGACATGCCACAGGCTCATAGATCACAGTATGAGAAAGATTTTCCTGTCTTTCCATTCTTCATAATTACACCTCTTTCTTTCATTCTTTAGCAGTCAAATACATGATGGAATCAAAACCAAAAAGGTTTGTCAGGCTCATCTCTGTAACAGGTTAGCTTGAATTCAAGTGTCTCCAAACACTAGGGGTGCTTGTACATGTGATGGGGGTTTAGGCCTTGCCCGCTAAAATGAAATGGTGGACCCTGAACCTGGGGAAGGCCCCGGTCCTTCCCTCCATGATTGGGCCACCAGGCCAGGTTGCTAGAGGGCCGTGTGCTGCCCCAGCTCAGAGGCAGCACCCAGTCCAATCCAACCGTTCCCTGAGCCCACCTGCTGGAAGCCCACCGAGCGCTGCTCCCTGGGCAGGCTCAAGGAACAGTTGGATTGGGCTGGGTGCTGCCACGAAGCTGGGGCAGTACCTGGCCCACTAGCAGCCCGCCCAGGCAGCCCCAGGGGGCGCTGCCACTGTGGAGGGAAGGACCAGAGCCCCCCACAGCTAAGGGGCTGCTTGGACCACTGGGAGCTTGGGCCCCGGCCACAGGAGAGGTGGCAGGCCCTGCCAAAAAAAGGATTGGGCCCTCACAGCAAAGGGCCTGGTCCTTTTTCTTCTGTGGAGCCGGCCTGCCTTCCCTGCAGCTAGGGGCCGAGCCAACAGGTACATCATTGCAGTTTGCAGTGTTGCAAACTAAACTATATCCAGATGCAGTTTAGTTTGCAACAGTGCAAACTCATCAGAAACCCCGCACATTGGTGCACATGTAACGTGTGATGCCGTTAAGCCACATAAATGACATTTTCGTCACATGTATGTTGTGGCAACCATCACACGTACAAGCACCTTAGGATGCTTTTCAAATTGTTGTAAGATCCAAACTTTGGCCTCTGATTTAGATGTACTTAAAATGCCTGGAGATCATCAGTCTGCAAACAGAGTTATAGCTAGGGTGCCTGTCCTTTTTATTACAGAGTATGCATTACAAAACAGGCATGCACAAAATCACATAATTATATTCACCAAGCACAAATCTTGCTGTGTTTTTGTGCGAGCACACATCTGAGTTCTAGTCACTGGTTTTGAAGGAAGGTCGTGTGGTAGTTTCAACAGAATGGTTCATTCAACTACAGAAGTGACATGTGAACCTCTAATCTCACATCATGACCCCTAATGGGAAGGCAACTCTGCAATCGTGAGTTTATACCAGATCTGAACGAGACATTTATTGTTCCCAACACTGGGTGGCACTGTATGCACTTGCATTAGCTGAAATCCACTTACATTTCAAAAGGATTTGCAAAATATACAGTAACTGCAAAGGTAAGAACAGAGTAATTTCCTGAGGAATTCTGGTTTCCTCCTGGTTTAAGAAGTCTGAGTTGGCTGGTAGATCAAAAAGAATCTATCTAACCATCTACCTGTATCCACATGCATCTAATCACCTCATCATCTTAGAATCACAGTTCTGGAAGGGACCTCACAGGATGCATCTCCTCTGTGAGGTACAGCAGGGCTGTTATGCCCATTTTTCTGGATTAAGAACTGAGGCACAGAGAGGCTAAGTGCTTTGTCCAAGGTTGCACAGGATTCTGTGTAGCAGATTAGGGAACTGTACTTAAATTGCTGCAATCTCATATTAAAACCCTAACCAACAAACCATTCTTTCTTTGATATGGGGACTGGAAAGAACCACCACAAATGTCAACAGATTGGCAAGTTTAAAAGATATAAGCAAAAGTCACTGATGCCTAGTGGGAAGATGTGCCAATGTCCTTTGTTATGTGATGGCAGAAGAGTCAAGTGACTCCAGAGAGATACAAGGGAGATAAAATGAGAGGATCAAAGATTAATTGAAATAGGAGCCTTTAACTAGAACCAACCTCACCCTTGCACTGTGGTGATCCAAATAAAATAGGACCTAGACACACATCACAGTTGTCAACTAGTATAGTAACTAGCTTGGTAAACTTCTGTCCCTTCCTTAGCACTATTAGGGCTCATGATGGAGCTTCAGGGTAGGGGACTGTATAATTTAAAAACTGAGAGCAGGGTAGGTTTAGAAAAGAACAAGTCACTTGGAGAAAAGTGCTCACTGGGTGCATCTATACATACAATTAATGGGCCCAAACTTTTTTCACAAAAGAACTGCACTCCCACATGCATGTGAATGTGTCTGTCAGGAGCAAATTTGATCCTGATGGGAACAGTTCATTCCTGGACTGTTCCTGCCCTGCTCTGTCCCCCTGCAGCAGCCAGGGGGAGCTTTAGCTTCCTATGGGTGCTAACCCCAGCACTGGCAAGGGCATGGGGGCTGGTCCCTGTCTCCACATAGCTAGGGTGCAGCAGGCCTGGCTGCCCTGACAGCTCTTCCAACCACGTGGCTGAGATGCAGCAGTCCCACCTGTAGAATATCTCTTGCAGCCTACCACATGGGGATTAGGACTGTGGGAAACAGTCCTAATCCCCATGTGGTAGGCAGATAACTGCCCCCCTGCACCAGGGCTTAGCCAGGTAGCAGCAGGCCCCCTGCTCTTTGGCCTGACTGGGAGCAAATTGCTCCAGGTCAGCATCTACATGTGCACTACTTTGCAGTAGCTAATGTGCTGTTAATCTAGTACCTGCATTTCCTGGTACTAGCAAACAGTTAATTTGCTGCACAGTAAATCCCATGTGTAGACAGGGATACTTTACTGCACATTAGATTAGTCTAATGTGTAGTAAAGTGTCTCATGTATATGTGCCCAATGAGGAAGTGGGGCAGGATCAGATTTTGCAATTTCTAGGCATGTCTACATGTTCATCCATGTGTCATAATTATGGTACATTAAGTTTAGTACCTGTAATCACAGATACTAACTTAATGTGCCATAATTTGCACTGCTGAGCATTAGCACCAGTGCACACTTTGTAAGTGCTGCCAATGTGCAGTAACCTGGTTCTACTGTGCGTTAGCACGTTTTTTTTCATGCTGTGGTAATGTGCAGTAGAATGAGTCTACTGCACCATTAACATCTCATGTAGATGCGCCCACTGAAATACACTCTAGATTCTGCTGGAACTGGGCTTCCTGAAGTGACGGTGCCCTACATGGGAACTGCAGATGTTAGCAAATGTTTCATGGATCCAATCTAGCTCTCTCACCTGGAGTAAAGACTACTGCTTAGTGAGTTAGAATGACTTGATCCTCAATGACTGAATTTGGGATGCTCAGATGAAATGATTACATCATTTTTTTTACGCCAGTGTAATGCGAATTAAAACAGTGGAGGGATGACACAAACCCATAAACTAGGGTGACTTCATCCAGTCCAGTGGAGAATTACTTCTGAATTACACATACTGTCCCAGGTAGATACTGTAAGGCTTAGTAATGTTTACAAAACCCTTTCAAAGACTCAAATGGAAGATTCTAGGGAAGAGTAGAGTATCAGTACAACTTGCTTGCAGGGAGTTTCCAGATTTCAATAAGAATTTTGGGTTGACTATACCTTCATAAAGTTCTAATTTTAGAGCACTGTCATTGTCTTGAATTCACTGAATGATCTTTCGCAGAAATCTTTTCTGCCTCAGATTCCCCAGTCTGTAATGAGGGC